AATCTAGCTTTCTTCCCAGGTCCCCTCCAAGGAAGTCAGTGTTGGCCGCCGCCATGTCGAGGAACCCTTGTGCCCCAAGCTTGTTGAAAAGGCTGACAGTGCTTGGGAAAACCAGGAACTAGGAAAACACTACAGTTCCTGAGAACCTAGAGACCATCCTGCAGCTTCACCCCTTCTTCTCTCTAATCCTCACCCTCCCACCCAGCTAGAGCCCATCTATTTCATCCCTGGGAACAGGTTCCTGTTTTACAGCCTGTGGTATATAGCCCCAGAAAATAAACTGCATAAATACGTTCATTCTCAACTCCGAGCTCCCTCCAACCTGCTTGCCATAGTCACTCTGCAGAGACGGTTCAGGGGCGCGCGCGCACACCACACACACACACACACACAACACACACAAGCAAGCTGGACCTTCAAGGACCAACAGTTCCCTGGGCTGCCCCTTGTAGTGCGTGCATCAGGTAGACTTTCTGATATTCTTTATCCTGTGCAAGCTGGGCGTTCCTAGAGGTGGCAGCGGAGGTGGGGGGCGACAAGAGCAACGACTACATACTAAGATCTGACTTCTTGTATCTACCTTTGCGTGGCACAGAGCCTGGCTCCCAGGATGCCTCAAGGAAGGAAGGAATGGACGGATGGATGGATAGATGGATGGATGGATGGAAGGAATAATGAATGACTGTAAAGACAGCAGAAAGAGGTTGAAACAAGTCAGGCAAAGGAACGCAGGGGAAGAAACAGTGAAGAAGCCAGGCGTTGGTGGCGCACACCTTTAATCCCAGCACTCGGGAGGCAGAGGCAGGCGGATCTCTGTGAGTTCCAGGCCAGCCTGGTCTCCAGAGCGAGTGCCAGGATAGGCTCCAAAGCTACACAGAGAAACCCTGTCTCAAAAAACCAATGTATGTATGTATGTATGTATATATGTATGTATGTATATGTATATAGATAGATTAGTAGTTATGATTCATAATTACGACAGAGCTAGCAAATAAATCCTAGTCATTGCCAGAAGCATTGTAACTAATATAAGACTCTGTGTGTTATTTGGGGGCCCTAACATGACGGCAGGACTCAGGTGGCTGGCGGAAAGAGTTTTCATTACAAGCGAGAGACCCTGTTTTGATGGGAGTTGTCCTTCTGAATATGTGTCTCTCTTATTGGTTGATGAATAAAACACTGTTTGACCAGTAAAGGCAGGAAGATAGGCGGGACTAGGAGACGAGGAGAATTCTGGGAAAGGTAGGCAGAGAGGCACCTCTAAGAGATGTCATGTGGCCGCCAAGGGAGTAAGAGGTCCAGTCATTCTCTGGTAAGCCAAGACCACGTGGAAATTCTTAGAGTGATAGAAATGGGTTGATAATTAAGACACAGCTAACCAGTAAGAAGCCCTAGCCATCGGCCTACAATTTTATAATTAATACAGCCTCTGTGTGTGCTAATTTGGGGCTGAAACAGTGTCGGGACCAGGTGGGACAAGAAAAAACTTCAGTAACACTGTATGAAGGAGCAGGTTCAGTGGGAGATCCTGTATGAAGGAAGAAAGGCAGAGAGCTGGACATCTGATGCCCTCTTCTGGCTTCTGTGTGCATGTGCATCAGCACACACACACACACACACACACACACACACCTACACGCGCACACTAGGAATAACAGAGCTTGCAAGGTGGCTCAGTGGGCAACCTGAGTTTGATCCTTGAGAACCAGGTCATAAATAAGTCTGTGCCCCCCACTAATTAATTTAATTATTGCAATTAAAAATAGAGAGGTAGGGCCGGGCGTTGGTGGTGCACGCCTTTAATCCCAGCACTCGGGAGGCAGAGGCAGGGGGATCTCTGTGTGTTCGAGGCCAGCCTGGTCTACAGAGCGAGTGCCAGGATAGGCTCCAAAGCTACACAGAGAAACCCTGTCTCGAACTCCTCCCCCAAAAAAAATAGAGAGGTAGGGCTGGAGACATGGTTCAGAGGTTAAGAGCACTGACTGCTCTTCCAGAGGTCCTGAGTTCAATTCCCAGCACCCACATGGCAGCTAACAACGGTCTGTAACTCAGCTCCAGAGGACCTGACACCTATGGCAAAACACCAATCAATGCACATAAAATAAGTTAATTAAAATAAAAACAGGGAGAGGTAAGACTGGTGTCATGTTCAGACCAAATGTGTGATGCTAAGGATCCCACTTTGGGAGCGCTTGCTTCTCTTGCAGAGGACTTAGGCTGAGTTCCCCCAAATCTAACTTTAGTCCCAGGGGATCCAATGCCCGTTTTTCTGATTTCTGTGAGCACCAGGCACACACACAGTGTGGAACATGCATAGACAGAAAATAAAAATAAGCATTTTTTTTTCAAATCCTACTATACCATCCTTATTCTGTCACCTTGTCAACATCCGTACTAACGGTTTCTGGGCCTCCACATGTAAAGATCCCAAGGCTGGGACCTGATTCATTGTGTTGATGTGAAGAGAGGATCCAGATGAAGAGATGTAACACACTTTGTCTGGAGCATGACTGGGTGTTCTGGTGACCTATTGTAACTTGTGCTGGTCGGTTTTGTGTCAGTTTCGCACAAGCTGAAGCCGTTGGGAGGGAGGGAACCTTAATTGACAAAATGCTCCCACCAGGTTTGCTGGTGAGAAAGCCTGTGGTGCATTTTCTTGACTAACGAGTGGTGTGGGAGATCCCAGATCACTGTTGGTGGTGCTCCCCTCCCCCAGGCTGGTTGTCCTGGGTGCTATAAGAAGACAGGTTGAGGACTGATCCAGACCCCCTGAACGTGGGTGTCAGTGAGGAGGCCTTGGCAATCTGTGGGGCCTCTGCTAGTAGATCAGTACTACTAGTATACGTATGGACTTTGGGAGCCCTCTCCACAAAGAGGGATACTCTCTCAGCCTAGGCACATGGGGGAGGGCCTAGGTACTGCTCCAAATGATATGAAAGACTCTGAAGATTCCCCATAGAAGGTCTCACCCTCCCTGGGGAGAAAAAGGGGATGAGATAGAGGGCTAGTGGGGGGCAGGGGAGGAGGAGATGGAGAGGGAATTGGAATTGACATGTAAAACAAGCTTGTTTCTAATTTAAATTTAAAAAATAGAAAAAAAGACAGGTTGAAGCTGGGGTGGCGCACGCCTTTAATCCAAGCACTAGGCAGAGGCAGGTAGATCTCTGTGAGTTCAAGGCCAGCCTAGTCTACAAAGGGAGTTCCAGGACAACCAGGGCTACACAGAGAGGCCATGCCTCAAAAACAGAAAGAGAGAGAGAGAAAAAAAACAGACTGAGAAAGTTATGAAGAGCAAGCCCGTAAGTACCATGGTCTCTGTTTCAGTTCCTGCCTCCAGGTTCCTGCCATGAGTCTCTGCCCTGACTTCCCTTCATGATGGACTGTAAACTGTAAGATGAAATAAACCCTTTCCTCTCCAAATTGCTTCTGGTCATGGTGTTTTATCACAGAGATAGAAACCCTAGGCAGTATCCATTGTCCAGGTGTGGAGAATAAGGCACCGAAAGGCTCCACAATCCAGCACTGATGGATGAAGGAAGAAGAACTCACACCAAAGTGTACACACACACACACACACACACACACACACACACACACACAAATAAATATAATGCAAAAGTTCTTTAAAAGATGTCAGAGGCCAAAAAGATGGATCAGCAGTTACAGCATGCCGTATTTTTACAGAGGACCTTGGTTCTGTCACCCAGCACCCACATCTAGGAACTCACAAGCACCTGTTAACTCCAGCTCCAGGGGAATCTGACGCCCTCTTCTGACCTCAGTGAGCATTGCACTCACGTGCACAGACACAGACACACCTAAATTTTAAAAAATACATATATTCAAAGCCCGGCACTAGTGGTGGTGTGCCTTTAATCCCAGCACCTGGGAGGCAGATATCAGTGAGTTCAGAGCCAGCCTGATCTACAGAGAGAGTTCCAGGACAGCCAGTGTAGTAACACAGAGCAACTCTGTCTCCAAAAACAAAACAAAACAAAACAAATAATAAAAACAAACAAACCATTAAAAATAACATATATTCGTTGTTACTATTCATTAGGGAAAGGCAATGACAGCTATAAGGAGACATTGTCTTCTTGTTTGGGTTTGATGGAGAAGGGTCTCCCTGTGTGGCAGGGCTGGCCTCAAACTTATCACCTTCTCTCCTCAGCCTCCTGAGTTCTGGGATGGTAACTGTGCGGTACCACTCTGGACCCAAAATACCATCTCTGCATCCACTGGGATGACAGAGGGCAGAAAATTACATAATCAATTAAAATCAGAGCCGACAAAATGTGGGGAAACTGGGAATTCCTGAGCACTGCTGGCAGAAATAAAGTGTAGTGTGGCCCCTGGGGGACACAGTACAGTGTGGAGGGTCCTGAAAAGGTTGAAAATAGGGGGCCAGGAGAGAGGGCTCCGTGGTTAAGAGCACTTGCTGCTCTTGCAAGTGACCTGAGTTCAGTTCCCAGCACCCACATGGCAGTTCACATCTCAAGTTCCCATCTCAAGTTCCAGTGGACCCCATGCTCTCTTCCGACCACTTCCGGCACAAGGCAGGCATGTAGTACCCAGTCATTCGCGCAGGCGAAACACCCATCCGCATAAAATGAAATAAATAAACCTATTTTTTTAAGTTAAAAATCATAATGCTACATGACCCAGTAGCTCCACTTAGGGACTTCAACCTGAAAGAATTGAAAACAGCAATGTGGGCCCGGCGGTCGCGGTGCACTCGGGGAGGCAGACGCAGGCGGATCTCTGTGCGTTCGAGCCTGGTCTACAGAACAAGTTCCAGGACAGACTCCAAAGCTACAGAGAAACCCTGTCTCAAAAAGAAAAAAAAT